GACTACAGGAAGCTGAACAACGTCACCAAGAAAGATTGCCTTCCACTACTCCAGACTGACAACACCATGGACACACTGGCCGGAGCCAAATGGTTTTCCACTCTCGATCTAAAGAGTGGCTGTTGGCAAGTCGATGTACACCCAGACAACAAAGAGAAGACAGCGTTTTCGACATGTCAAGGGTTATGGCAGTTCACAGTCATGCCCTTTGGCCTCTGCAATGCTCCGGCAACCTTTGAGAGATTAATGGAGACAGTCCTACAAGGTCTCACGTACGATTCATGCCTTGTGAATTTGGACGACATGATCATAATAGGTCACACATTCCAAGAGCACATTCTCAATTTACGGAAAGTGTTTGAGAGGTTCAGAGAAACCCATCTGAAACTTCATCTGGAAAAGTGTCAACTTTTGCAGAAAGAAGTCAGGTACCTCGGCCATATTGTATCACCAGACGGTACATCCACCAACCCAGAAAAATTGAAAGCCATGCGAGATGGCCAACTCTGAAAGATAAACATGAAATTAGAAACTTTCTGGGACTATGCACCTATTACAGGAGATTTATAGTATCTCAGGTTTTTCCAACATTGCAGAACCACTAACTGGACTAACGGAAGAGAAACAAACCTTCCAGTGGACTCCAGAAGTTGAGGCCGCTTTTCAAACACAAGGCAGCCCTGTGTGCTACCTGTATTCTTGCCTACCCACAGCCAGTTGAGAAGTTCATTGTGGACACACATACAAGTTGGAATTGGAGGAGTACTCTCTCAAATAGAGGACGGACAAGAGCGTGTCATAGCCAACTACAGCAAGACGCTAACCAAAGCAGAGAGAAACTACTGCGTCACCTGATGAGAATTACTTGCCATAGTGAGGATGCTGGAACATTTCCACGAGTACCTTCGCGGACAATAGTTCCATCTGCGAACAGACCTCTCTGCGCTTACCTGGCTCATGAGTTTCAAGAACTTAGAAGGACAAACTGCGCGCTGGATACATCACCTACAAGAGTACATTAGTTCCGAGCATTGTCAAGGCCAGAAACATAATGCCGACGCCCTTTCTAGATGACCCTACCAAGAGCAATGTGCGCACTGCCACAAAGTTTAGATACGGGCAGATGTAAAGCAAATACGCACTATTGGAACCCTACCGGCAGTCAGCTGGGACCCGGTTACCCTAAGAGAGGAACAGCTAAACAACCCAGACATAGGACCTATTCTACAGGAAATAGAAATCGGACAACGACCGGAATGGCAAGATATCACAGACTGGAGTCCCACATACAAAAGCTACTGGGCTCAATGGAAATCGCTCACTGTGAGAAGCAGCATACTAGAACGAAACTGGGAATCCACCAACGGAAGATTTCAAGTAGCCAAGATAATTATTCCTCGGAGCAGAGTGAAGAAAGTTCTGAGCGAACTACATGGCGGACCATCAGGAAGTCACTTTAGTGTTAAGAAATCCCTGAGTAAGGTTCGGCAGAGATTCTACTGGCGCCAAGCAAGAGCCAATATTGAGAAATGGTGCCGACAGTGCAACACATGTGCAGCCAGTCAGGGACCGCAGACCAGGACTTGTGGGCAAATACACCAGTATAATGTCGGGGCTCCCTTCAAGAAAATAGCCATTGATATCACAAGGCCCTTCCCACAAAGTGACCAAGGAAATCGATACCTACTGATCGCTATGGACTACTTTACCAAGTGGCTGGAAGTGTACGCCATTCTCAATCAGGAGGCCTTGACAATAGCTGAAGTACTGGTTGCCAGCTTCTTCTGCCGCTTCGGAATACCTCAGGAGTTGCACAGCGACAAAGGCCCTAATTTCGAGTTTCATCTGCTACAAGAAGTTTTGCAATGCCTAGGAGTGAGCAAGATGCGCACCACGCCCCTTCACCCACGGTCGGACGGCATGGTGGAACGCTACACTAAGACCATTGCGGAGCACTTGCTGAAGGTCGTCGCATCCCACCAGAGGGACTGCGATGAGAGGTTACCCCTCTTTCTCCTAGCTTACAGGGCATCCACTCACGACACTATGGGCTTGACCCCTGCTGGCCTAGTGTTCGGACGAGAACTCCGACTGCCCTGCGACCTGCTTTTTGGGGTACGCCCAGACAAGGAACTACCCACAACCGATTATGCAGCAGACTTGGTGGATCATCTGCACGACATCCACAATTATGCCTGACAACAGCTGAAGCTCGCCAGTGACCAGATGAAAACTAGGTACGATAAACTGCCCAACTCCCCAGATTACCAAGAAGGCGAAAGAATTTGGCTCTATCACCCATCCCGCAGGAAAGAGAAATCGCCGAAACTTCAGTCCTTGTGGGAAGGGCCTTACATAGTAGTAACAAGGATAAATGATGTGGTATACAGAATCCTCAAGACCCCTAGGTCAAGGATGTTGGTAGTACACCTTGATCGGCTCACGCTTTATCATGGAGCTGCTCGAGACGAGCAACCATAAGAAGGGGGAAGATGTAGCAGCTGGAGAACGGAAAACGGGAAGAAAAGAAACACTGAGCCGGACAAGAAGAAGACACTGCAAGTATAGCCTCGGAAGGAAATGACCGGTGATGCACTATTAGACTATTCGGAAGGAACAGCCTTAAGAAGGGAGCAGTGTGACATGTCTAACCGTTGCTGGACAACGGCAGGTGGAACGAGTTACCATGAAGACAGACCCTTGATAAACAGTCGGTTGCCAGGTTACGCAACAGTAAGAAAAGTGGTGATCTCCATGCCGTGCCAAGTGGAGCCGAAGTGAGCCGAGCCGAATCATGCTGGTTGCTACACAGCAATAAACAACTCTTGGCAGCATTGCCCAGCAATACCTGTAAACACAGCGATTACACAACAAGGAAGCAAGGCGCGTTTTCCGTTGTATGGCTGAGGGTTTAAAAGAGAACTGCACTGCCGAATGAGTCAGTTGAATTGTAGCAGTCGCCGAATTCAGTTGTAGCGAGTGAATCGTGAACGTGAACAATACTGGAACATGCGATTAGAGGCGATAGTGTGAGAAGGTATTTGCGTTCAATACAGTGACACTGGGGTAGCTCCTTTATTGTACTGTGGATAAGTGAAGACTATTGAAGATAGAGTGAATAGATTATTGTGTAGGGTTTATAAATTGGGTAAACCCGCAACTGTGTTATAAATAATTGTAGTTATGATTTGTAGGTTAAATAAACCAATTAAATTAGAGACAAAAGATGTTACAATATTATCAAAGCTGAGGACAAACATAAATGCAGAAGGGTGTGTTCTGTGTGAGATAAACACTTCTGTCATAAGACAGGAAAGAATTAACCTTTAAACGCCGGACTTCGAAATAGTGGTAAGCTTGAGCTGGCCGGAGTTTATTTAAATGCCCGCTGCTGGTGCTCGTTTAAATGCCCATTGCTACTCTGCCTTTAAATGTCCGTTCCTGTTAGGCGCTTAATCAATTTTAAGCGTTGTGTTTAAAAATGCTGTATCTAGCTCAATTTTTATGATAAATGGATGGAATTAACTGTGTTCATATCAACAAAGAACACAGTGTCACATATTATAACAGAAGATTTGAAATTTTTAATACAAAGTCTTATCCTCTACTACACTGCACTACACAATACACTACGCGTCGGACACAACCGACCACAAGCCCACACAATCTCGTGCTGACGCCTCCCCCATTGGGACTATCCACTAAGAGGAACCTGAATATTTTACTTGGACGGTTTTAACTTTAATTTTAACATTAACGACCCGCTTTGTGGGTGATATTTTAAATGCAAATGGGATACCCGCACTCGGGGTACTGGATGTTGTTGTGTTTTACGCTCCGATACGTGTAACATCTTCCACAAAAAACTGTATATTGTGATTGTTGAGCAGTGCAAGTGTTTCCATGTTTTTGTTGTGGTTGCCTCTGATGATGGCTCTTTGTGAGCCGAAACATGTAAGGCAAATGTGAGAAAATGGTGACAAGAATATATATTGTTACACTCGACGGAGGTTCTATTGATAATTGGTGATTGATAGTGTAACGGACCAAAATGAAACAATTCAAAATAATCTTATCCTCTATTTTCAATTTTTTGTTTTAATTTTGATGCGTACTGCAAAAATGGATTCCCAGTTCTTCACAGAGTTGTTCTGCATTATAAATTCATTTCTGTTTGTACCACTTGACAAATTTTAGCAGTCCCTGGTGTCATAAAACAGTTGGAAGCAATAAAATCATTTGGTCTTCTGCTAGCACTGTTTACTCTTCAGATTTTCGAATCTTTTGACAGAAGGACAGAAGAATGAAAGCACGGCTATTCAAGATAAAGCTAGAGGGGTCCCTTCTTCAGTGCTAAGACCTTCCGTTAGAGCTGCAAAAGCTTATTGCCCCCTCTATTTGAATGAACAGACAGGTGCATCGTGGCTGAGATACAGAGTGCGATCTGTTTTGTGTGCGTTCGTAGTGAAATCGAATACTGTAGTATAATTTCAGCCTATATACACATCAAGCAGGTAACAACAAAAAAGGAATGTACATCGAATTTTACAATATATTTTTAACATACCTATCTTCAGAATCTGTAATAAAATTACTGGATCATGGATAAGTTTTGGCATAACTCATACGTATATTTTTATTTGCTGTTGTTCATTTAGGTATTATTGTAATTCCTCTATTAGGGTTTTACTCAAGTCTGTCTGGTAATTACTACATTTAAAAATAAATATTTAGGACTGTGCATGCACTTCTACTAATGGCATGTGCGCGCACTTCCACTAGTGGAGTTTAAATGCCTGACTGGCCAAAACGGGGTACTTTGGCCACGACGGCCTTACTCATCACTGGCACTTAAAGGTTAAATATTACCAATTCACATATGTTGAGAATACTTCAAATGAAATGGCCAGTGAGCAAGTAAGAAGTCTGTATTTGGGTTAAACAGATACTTGTCAATAATTGTCCCACTGGTGTTACATTATATGGGTCTTATTGCATACCTTCTTTATGCAATTTAGTAGTTTTTTCTTAGAGGCTTCTCTGTCCTCCTCCTTCTTTTTCTTCTTCTTCAGTTCTTCAATCTGCAATGTAATACATCACAACACACATGAAGTACACATCAAGGTACATATATATTTGCTGGTGTACAAGATACCAAGAATGAATGGGTGTTCTGATTTATGAGGATGGCCTCCAGTATAACTGAGAAACTACCTTAAAACAAGTGGAGATTTTGACTTTCAGCAAATAATACGGGACATGTCAGAGCCACCTTAACAGAGCGTCAGGAATACAAGCATTTCCTCTTGTTGGTTACATTATTTCAGCTTTAATGATTACAATTCAGAGATATTGCAATCAAAATATTTCCACTATCACTATTAAATGTTAATTCATAAAATAATAGTACATAAACTTGTTAAAAAAGAATTGCCTGTTGTAATGGCTTTTAAAGTCAAAAAGAATTGCCCAATTTAATGGCTTTTAATAAGAAATTTAGAATATCCACAAATTTGAAGGTGTGTTAGTGCATTATGGCAAATTGTGATTATTAGCAAAATCAGTTTCCAGCATTATTCTGTTCTACTGCTTAGTAATTTTCAGTTATATCCAATATACTCTCAAAATTGATCTGTTCTCCAAGTTGAGTGTAGGACATATTGCCTCTTCTCAGTTCCAGGCAATGAAGTGCACTTGCCTTGTAGATGACTGGTTATCTGATTTGTCAGTCTGAAAAATATATATCTTATAACTAGTTTTAAATTCATTTTATTCCAGCATTCAAACACAATCAGTAGACAGGTGTCCAATTAAGGGTGATTATATATACATAAATTTTATATATTTAAAATATTAGAATGTTACAAACTTATGTAATTCAATCACATATTTTATGAAGAAATTATATGTTTTTGGTATTTACAGTAAGTCCTATGGAACAAACAATAAAACATGTCATGATATCAAAAGTACAAGGGAAGATATAAACACCTGTTCTGTAGCCATTATTTTCCTGATTATGACTGTGTGCCAGTATAATATCACATATATTGCAGTCCAGGTGACTGAATAAGTATATTTTTCAGGTGATGTTATTTGCAATGATCATGACAATCTCCACAATTAAACCATATAAATGAAATACTAACCTCTTTAGTGTAATAGTTATGTACTCTTAAATCCCCCTGCTTCATGATCTCAATTTTCTTCAATAACTTCTCCTTCTCAAGCAATGCCACAGCTGCCTGATGTTCCTGGAATAAGTGTGCGGCAACCAACTACACAGAATACAAAAGGAACAATGCTGTAGAATTATTTGGGCAAAATGTTAGGAGGATTATATACTCTGCACTTTCTCACTTCCATTATAGCTTCTAACATAGTTTTCTAGCATATAGTTTTAGGATCACAGCCACATTTCAGAGAAAAAAATTCTTTTAATAAAATTTTAGATGTGAGTAAAAAAATCTATCCCTGTAACAGGCTGTGGAGGCCCATAGGGTTGTGAGATGTCAAGGATCCCACATTTTCTAGAGAGTCGACTCACAGATGGCGGTGAGTTTGTCAGCCTTACGCGTGGGCTGCTGTTTACCCTCCAGGAAGACTCCTGGTACTCATTTGTTAGAGGCTGAGTCAACCCCAGGGCAATAATGCAGCTGGAAGGATTAGGTCAGTTGAAAAAAAAAATCCACCTTATTGGGACTCAAAGCCGCGAATTTCCAGCTTGTGACTCCCGGGAATAGGACGTTTTTCAAATGAACAGTACTCAGCCCATTTTCAACTTAAAGCGAATTTACTGACAGAAAATTACAGGTCAAAATTTGCCATTTTATGTTCCTAGTGTAGTTGTGAAAAATAACGTCCTGCAGATGACGCCCGTCCTCCTCCCGGAAACAGGACGTTTTTGAAGCGGGTAGTATTCGGTCAGTGGTGATGCAAGGGACAGTGAAGGTCATTCACCTTCTAACCGAATGCCATTTTAGTTACAATGGAGCAGTGGACGTTGCAACACCACGTGTTCGTGTATGATGCGTTCACACGAAATGGCGAGTCCGTAAAACAGCTGTGCAGTGGCTCTTTCGGCAAGTTTAATGTTGGTCGACATGAGGCCGCTCCCAGTGGGAACAGGATTCTGACAAGGGTTGCAAATTTTAGAACGACCGGGAACCATACGAAAACGATGCCACCAGGGCCTGCACGCACTGTAAGGACACCCGAAAACATTGAGAGGGTGAATGAGGCCCTAATCAGGAGCCCAGAACGGTCAGCTCGAAGGCATGCCACAGAGTAACGTATTCACCGTGAGGCAGTAAGGAGAATTTTACAGAACAGTTTACGATTCCATCCTTACAAGATGCAGATCGGTCAACAGCTAAAAGTGAGAGACTATGATCAACGTGAGGATTTTGCTGTACGAATGCAGTTGATTTTGAAGAGGATGAAAATGCATTGGTGATGAGTGCCGAAGCTCATTTTCATTTGAATGGCACTGTAAACAAGCAGAACCTTCGTTACTGGGCTTCTGAAAACCCACGTCACATTCATAAACGACCTCTCCACTCGCAGCGCGCCATAGTATGGTGTGGTTGCCCCTTTTGGCGTCATAGGGCCGTATTTTTTGAAGAAAACGGCGTCGCGGTCATAGTTACCTCAGCTCGTTACATTGACATGGTCCATAACGTCTTTCACCCAGAACTGCGAAGGAGATGAATAAACATGAGAAAAGTTTGGTTTCAGCAGGATGGAGCCACTGCACACACTGCAAAATAAACAATGAATATCCTTTGGAACATGTTTGCTGGGCGCATCATTTCCCGTTTCGGTGATGTGCCTTGGATCCTCAGCTCTCCTGATTTATCATCATCATCATCATCACTGGCACGACAGCCCTTTGTGAGCCCTGGCCTTCCTCAGGATTGCTCGCCATTCTTCTCCATTCGATGCTACATTCCTCCAGTTCTTTACACCCAAAATTCTTATGTCCTGCCACACACATTCTTCCCATCTCAATCTTGGTCTTCCCACTTTCCTATTTCCTTCTGGTTTAGTATTAGGTATTTTCTTAGTCGTTCTATTCTCACTGGCATGTATTATGTGTCCAGCCCATTCAAGCCTTTTCACCTTTATAAATCCAATAATGTCTGGTTCATTAAATAGTTTGTATAGCTCATGGTTATACCTCTTCCTCCATATTCCATTTTCTTCCACTGGTCCAAAGATATATCTCAGGGTCCTCCTTTCAAATATACTTAACAGTCTTTCATCCAATCTTGACAGTGGCCAGGTCTCAGACGCATAAGATAGCACTGATCTTATAAGTACTTTATACATCATAGTTTTGGTTTTCCTGATTTATCGGCTCGCGGTTTTTTCCTGTGGGGGTACTTCAAAAGCCGTGTCTACATCCATAAGCCCCGCTCTTTAACTGAGTTGAAGGATGCCATTTGTGGAGAAGTGCAGTTGATCGATCGAGAGATGTTGGGCCGAGTTTTTAACAACTTCAAGCAGAGGGTGGAAAAATGCATTCAGGAGGATGGGCGTCATCTGCAGGACGTTATTTTTCACAACTAAACTGGGTATATAAAATGGCAAATCTTGACCTGTAATTTTTTGTCAATAAATTCGCTTTAAGTTGAAAATGGGCTGAGTACTGTTCATTTGAAAAACGTCCTATTCCCGGGAGTCACCCAGTATCATAGTACCTCAATCAGACTATGCTACCGCGTGCCTCAAATACCAAATATGACCTAGCAGATATAACACCAATACTTAAATGGACCACCTAAAAGACGGAGTGTCATGGTCAAGGAGGGCGTCCATTGCCAACCAATGGCTGGGTAAACACTGTTCTCGCAGTAAGGTCAGCCATTGCTAGGTGACAATTGGCTACATGTTCTGAGGGTAACCTCTAAACGAATACACGGCAGGACTTTGGTTACTAGGGTATTGATATGCACAGTGTAATTTTAAGTGATTAAAAGACGCTATCCATGACAACGAACCATTAAAAGCACAGTAACGGCTATAAACCTGAGAATTGTACTGTTGAGGGAGGTGACTTCTACGCGGTTCACCGAAACATTAGAACACGAGAGTTTGCCAGAAGAACAAGTTAAAGAAAAAAAAAGGTTATGAGTCCCACAGGACTTGGACCTGAAAATGACTGCACCAATGAGGGACAGCAACAATTGTAAATGACAGACCCACCCTCTCGTCAAGAGCAGCACCCAATATCAACAAATATGCAACTGTCTGACAGTAATAAAAATTTGGTCGTAAGCTCCAAATGGGTGCTTTATTCCAAGACACACTGGGCAACTGACCGTCGGTCACAACATAAGACTTGACTTGAATGAGTCAGTTACAGGATCATGGAATTACAGAAATATGTACAGATTTAAATCACCGAATTCGTGCAAGGAACATCCATGAGTGGAAGTGATGAAGACTTTACATGTTACTGTGCCAGTAATAATTTGAAGTGTTATAATTATTTGTAGTTACGACTGGCGAGTGTTCAATAAATTGATTCATCTAACCAAGAACCCATTAATTACTTGCTGTGTTACTAGGATATGTGACAATATCTTTGTCTTATCTCTGATTTTATATGTCAATCGATCATATTCTGTCATTAATTTTACAATATTTTCTTTTAGAAATTGCATCTTTAATGTTTGCTTCTATTTTTATAGTATTCTGATTTTATGATATCTGGTAGTTACATTATGCATTGAAATAGGTGCGAGGCTTATTGAACTTTTGTTCCTGCTGATGGTTTATATAACCTGTCTTGTGTTGGTTCTGATGTCTGGAGGTATGAACTAGCTCTGCTGATTGGTCATAACTATGTATGATTTTACTTTAGGACAGGGGCAGAGTCCAGTGTCCCAAACGTTGTTCTTAATTAAAAAACAGGATGATGTATAAAGCCTGAAAAGTCAATAACTGTTTTAATATATCATCATCACAACTTTTTAGATCTTATTTACAATTAATGCTACTTGTGTCTGACCACTCCATGGTCTTTTATTTTTGTTTAATCTGTCTTCCACTGCTAACTCATAACAAAGATCTGAATACAATAAAATTGATGGAGCAGAAGTTTAATCCTGACCACAAGCCTGAAATAAAATGAGCTTCCTTATTATAAGGTGAGTCAAGTGCCACATTAGAACCAAACTCCTAGTTAAAGATCCAATTTGATACTGCTGGACCTATCACACACTTGAGTGCACTAAATGAATATAAAGTATTGGTGAAATCATATGTGTGAGGGAAAAGGAGAAGCATATAGAGATAAATCTGCAAGAATACCACTCAGAAGTGACAGGCTGATATCCAGCTACCTAAGTTACGATCAGTTCAGTTGCTATGTCATTCTAGGGCTCACAGCTTGTGTGCTCACATGGCTGTGTATTGTGTATCAAAGTTATTTTGTGCACTGAATAAAGATTTAATTGTGAGGAAAATCTGTCACCATTTGGGGTCTCTGGACAAGGAAATGATTAATACTCAATATAACAAATTTACAATGATATGTTCTTTACTCTAATCACATAACCAGTAACTATAAATTTCATGACAGCTTTTACTTAGAGAGAAAACAAAGCAACTTCATTCAAGGCAGTCACATGAGACCCACTTTAGGAAGTTTAATTGCAAGCAACTGAGAGATTCTGATGACAGAGAGAATATCAGTGATCAGAGGTGGGAGTCATATAAGATTATCATAATGACAACATCAGACTCAGTTCTAAGAAAAGTAGAGAAAATGAAGTACACTCAACTCTCGATTATCTGGAATAATGGTGGGGATGGAAATCACGATTAATCAAAAATCCGGTTAAGACAAATTTTATTAAAAGTAGTACTGTAATACAGTACCTTCATAATACTATAGACCTACCTGTATTTAAATTTATTCAACCTCATTTTTATGTCATCTCATGGTCTATTTAATACCTTTTTACATTACACTGAAGTATGAATTAGTTATTTCAATCACAGTGTTCAACATCGAACACTTTTTATGAATATTCACACTTAACACTTTGTGGGCCAGCAATTTAAATATTTAAATCACCCTGTGGACCAGCATTTTTAAACCTACTACCCTAACTTGTGCACTGTTCACTTTAAAAATTAATATAAAATCTCCTAATTAATTTTATGAACTAAAATTTTTGGAGAACACTTACCAATGCTCTAGAAGTGCTTGAGAGTATGATATTTCTGGAAACATTCCCCTTTGAGAAGTGGCATTACACAGAACTTG